ATTTTTACTAAATTTGGTTAAGTTTTTGCTGATTTATTTTTGTTTGAAGATTCAAAAAAATTTCATTAAAAAAAACACGGTGCGTTTCTACTGGCTCACCCCCATATTATCGGTAATAATATATAAAAAATTACAATTTTTAAAAAAATATTTTATTTTTATATATATTAATAATAAAAGAGTTAGTTTTTTTTTAAAACCCTTAATATACAAATTATAATAGTAATTCTATATATCTCTCTAATTGCATACTTTAAATACTAAAATAAAGTAAAGTATACATAATTCACTATATATGGCAAAAAGTTTAAAAGGCAATTTAATTATATTTTTACATGGGTTAAATAGAGATCACAGAGATCAGGCCATTGATTAAACAAACACATGTAATTGATCAATCATATAATATGACGCCTGATTAAAAAACACTGCCTACTCATATAGTTCTTGTTTGTATTTAATGTCTGCAGAGTTTGGTTCTTTCAATTCTTCATTCTTCAACGTCTTTAAATCTTATTTCACTAAAAAATCATTCTAATGTCAACATCCCTCATAAACGCTTCTTCATTATATATGCATTAATAGAATTTGAAGTATGTTTGCTTAGTTATAAAGAAAAAAAAAAAAAAAAAAGGAAGTGTACGGAATACATAGTATGTATACATTATAGGAATGAGATGCTTCAACCAATAAATGCTCTATACATATAATTGTATTATGGAATTGGACTTTGGTTTGGACTGACATGTTGGGCATGGAGTTTTCTCTTTCTTCTTTTCTAAAAATTTGTTTACGCAACCTCCACAAATAACATGCCCACAGCCTAACGCCCATAATTTTTCACGAAGAACGCCATTACAATCTACGCAAATTAAAGTATCAGAGTCTTCAGGATTCCTCGTGTGACCATCTGCTGGTTTCCTTGAAACATTATTATCTCGTCGTGAGGTGGACATGGGTGGAGTATTCAGAATTTGGATATCGTTAGTATTGATCGTAGTAGGGATTACGTTTTCTGTTTGAAAAATGGGAGGAAATGTTCGAGAAGCGCCTGTAACATTATCATGGGAATGTGGACGATCATGTTGAGGAGCGATGGTTATTTCGTCTGCATAAAGCACAGGATGGAATGCCGATGCATGCTGTCGGTGATGACGATATGAGAATTGAAGGTTTGAATTTGGTCCCTGAACAGATTGAATAGTAGTGACATTTACTATCGCCAAACCTATTAAAATTTGAATTATTTAATCTAACGTATTGAATATTATATCTTTTGTTTACTCAATTTTTTAAAAACTCTAAGACATGTACAATATAAAACAAACCTCGCCACGTTGGAGACGATCCAGAGCTTTGTAATCGATTAGAACGAATAGGACTAGAACGAATAGGACTAGAGCGATTATGATTCGAACGAACAGGATTGGCTCTGGCTCGAATTGGACCACCTCCGTTTCCGATCGAAGAACTTTGTACATTACTAGGCGGAATCACTCCAGGAGAATTATATAAACTTTGATTGCCAAATGTATGTTGGTTCATATTATTTCGAGAGTAGGAATTATTATGGTCAGAACCGTGTGACGAGACAACGTCATCCTCAGTGTCACTATCTATAATTACAATGTCAACCGTAGAAGTGGTCCCGGACCTTGTTTGTCTAATGTGAGAGTACATGTCAATGGGTGAAGTTGGTGTTGTCAAATTACAATAAGTACGAGAAAAAGCGGACGGACTAGACATTTTAAAAAAGAAACTGCTTTTTTTATGAGTTTTTGTAAATATTGGACCTTATATACTATCGTATTGTGCAACTCTGTCGATCCAAACTAAAATGTTTCAGGCACTTTAGTCCATTTCTAATCTGATCATAAAAACATTCTCTGGTTTATTTAACTGTGATAATATAAAATTCTGGAAAGTACGATCAAACCTCTACATAAGGGCTTTTCGTTTCTACACATTTTTCGTTCTATGAAAAGTTAGGTGTAAATGCAAATATGAAACAAGTCTTGATTTAATTAGCTTTTATCGGATCAAATACTATTATAAAGGTCCGCCGTAAAAGATCGAGCCCATTCTATTTTATCATGCAAGGCTTTATTTTTCAAGTTTAACTGTACTTGTTTTTCTTATATCCATGCAAACCTTTATTGTTATGTAAAAAAAAAACAAAATTCGAAAATAGCCCCTTGGCGGATTCGAACCACCGATCTTCGCTTTACGAGAGCGAAACCTTAACCACTGGGCCAAAGGGGCTAGTATAATAAAAATAGTATAAAATGATAATTTATTTATATATTTATAACCAATTTAGTTACTTTTTATGGTGTAAAGTACTTATTTTATATATAGTATTCATTATACTACTGTATATATACAGTATATATAGCATATAGTATTTGTACTATATTATAAAAATATTATTATATAAAATATAGTATAAAAAATAATATTTATTGTAATAAAAATAGTGTAATAATTGTTTAAAATTATTATACAATATTTTTTTATTAATTTAAATAAATAATAGAAAAAATCTAAATGGTGTTTTATATACATCGTAACTCTTTTAAGTTTTGATAACAAACAAATACAGAAATACAAAGATTAATATTAGGGTTAAAGTTAGAGTTAGAGTTGGAGTTGGTGTTTTTTTATATAAGGATTGTTTTTTCTTAGTTACACAACAGGGTTACTCTAGTAAAATTTTGAGGTATTGGCAATTTTTATACTGTATAATAAGGAGTACAAAATATATGAAGTACTATTTAGTTCAGTTTTAAATAATATTATAAATTCTAATTTAAATATAAATTTTTTTTATCTTAATAAAGATAAGCTAATACTACAGTATAATAAAGTTTTATATAAAATAATTTAATTTTGCAAATTGTTTTTTTTTTTTTTTTTTTTTTTTTATATTGCCAACGTAGAAACTTTATTTTTATTTAAAGGTTTTTCTCTAACATATATACAGTTTCTAATTACATTTGTGCTACTATTACTAGTCACCCAATGTGGCATTATACTCCT